AATTTCTTTCTGCCTCTCTCCTCACTGCCATGTAGTTGTTTCTCGCATCTTTGTATTGCTGATATGTTTGGTAGTTTAGCCTCTTCCTATATTGATTCCATTTTTGTGTCTATTGGTCTCTGGCCCTCTCGCAATTTCTATTGAACGAAACTTGTTTCCTAGTTCTGCATCTCTGCTTTGGTATAAATTTTGTTGTGCATCATATATTTCACAAAACTTGACATACAACTCATTTATTTCCTGGCCTAACAACAAGTCTTTCCTGTCATATTCCTTAAAGAAATCTCTTAGTTCCCCATAATGTCCTCTCCTGAAATTAAGTTTTTCAACTGCTTCAACTTACTCAATTTCTTCCAGATTATAACACATTGCATACTTTATTCCCAAAAAGACATGGTCACTTTTACCCAAGGGAGGAAAGTACTGAATGTTAAATATCACTTCTTTCCTGGAAAATATCAAATCCCTCATCCCCTTAGCTTGTTTAACGTGTTGATACATGAATGTTTCTAGGATGAGATCTACGAATTTACAGGTCTAAAAGTCCTTTGTTCTAGCTTCATATGCCTCCGTCTATGGATTTCAAATTGAAGCCACCGACTACCAAAAGTTGTGAACGATCTTCATCCGCTCTCACTATAACCCCTCTCATTATTGTTAGAAGACCCTCTCATTTATTATCCAGCTCCTCCTTTGTCCATGTGTCGCATGATTATCATCCTGATTGCAGATCTCCAGTGCTATTATGTCAACTTCTCGTGGATTGGCAATCATTATTTTGTTTACCTTTAGGTGTTCTTTCACCAGCACAGCAATGCCACTGCATTTCCTAATTTTTCTGTCCAGTCTCTAAACTGGTATCCCCTTGGGAATCTGACCTTGCGTAATATATTATCTTCAAGTTATGTCTCCGCGAGTGCAACACTGACTGGTGTCTGCAGCTGTATTACATCGCTTAACTCCAGTATCCTTGATCTCGCTCCATCTCTGTTGGTGTATACAATTTTCAGGAACATGTTCCCTCTCTCCTTATTCTTCACTAACCCCTTTCTCTAGTGATCTTGTTGGTTTGCCTGTTTGTACCATTTTACTGGCTCGCCTACCCTTATCACCTTGTAGAAATAAAAAAATTATTTTTTCTTTGTTCCTGCTCTCATTTAGACGTTTTGCCTCTACGAGGTTCAGTTTCAGCTTCTCTGTCTTCTTTTAAAAGATCTTGTCTTAATGACCATAATTTCCCCCTCCTCATCACTTTGTAATTTCCCAACATTCCTTAGTACTACTTCCATCTGTTTAGCACCATTCAGGGTGAGCCTCAAGGGTCGATCTCTCCCTTTTTCATACCTGCCAATTCTCCTGTAGTCACAGACATTCTCTTTGGTTGTAAGACCTTCCACTAGCCCAACAATTTTATCTACCACTCTTGCTTCTACAGCTTTTTCTGACCAAGATGTTATCTCCTTTGTGTGTAATTACCTAAGTTTAGTTACAGGATTAGAGCTATGCTCGTGGTGTCCTGTCTACCCAGCACTCTGTCATATAACGCTTTGAAACTACAGATGGTTTTGGCCTCCACCACCTTCTCGCCTAACTTGTTTTGTCTACCACTATTTGGGAAAGTGAATTTTCTTATATTTCTTCGGCAGCTTTGTTTAGTTAGTTTTAATCTATGACCTCTTGTTCTTGAAGTTCCAGGTCTCAGGAATTCTTCCCTTATCAATTTTATCGATTCCTGTTACTGTTTTGTGCATAGTGATCATATGCCTCTTTTTCTCTATCTTCTAGTTTTTGCATATTTAATGCCTCTAACCTCTCCTTGTAGCTCTTGTCCTTCAGTTCTGGGAGCCACTTAGTGGCATGTCTTTGCACCTTTTCCAGTTTGCTGATGTGCTTTTTATGATATGGGCACCATACAACCGCTGCATATTCAAGCTTTGGCCTAACAAAAGTCGTGAACAATTTCTTTAGTATTTCGCCATCCATGTACAGTGGTGCCTTGATTAACGAATTTAATCCGTTCCGGCACCAAGCTCGTCGTGTGAAATGCTCGTCTTGAGAAACAACTCTGCCTTTGTCGGAGACATCAGAGAACCAGCGGGAACGCTAGGAAGCACCATGTGGTTTGATCGTTAATTGAGCGAAAGCTCGTCAATCAAGACAAATTTTCTGCGAGTGGCTCGCTCATTACTCAAAATGCTCGTAACTGGAGTCACTCGTCACTCGAGGTTCCACTGTATTTAAAAGCAATTCTGAAGTTTGAAAGCTTAGGCTCCTCGCACAATGTTCTTTATGTGGTCCTCAGGTGATAGTTTTCTATCTAGAACCACCCCTAGATCTCTTTTCTTTATCAGAATTCTTTAAAGATTTCTCACATAATTTATAGGTTGTGTGGGATCTCTGTTCTCCTATTCCATATTCCATAACATGGCATTTATTCACATTAAATTCCATTTGCCAAGTGGTGCTCCATATACGTATTTTGTCCAGGTCTTCTTGAAGGTCATGACAATCATCCAAGTTTCTTATCCTTCCTATTATCTTTACATCATCAGCAAACATGTTCATATATTTCTGTATTCCATCTGGCTTATGTAAACAATGAACATCACTGGTGCAAGAACTGAACCCTGTGGTACTCCACTTGTGACATTTCTCCAGTCCGATACATTGCCTCTGATTACTGCCCTCAGTTTTCTATCAGTCAGAAAATTTTTCATCTATGTTAGAAGCTTACCTGTCACTCCTCCAATATTTTCCAGTTTCCAGAACCTCTTATGTGGAACTCTGTCGAAAGCCTTTTTTAGGTCCAGATAGATGCAATCAACCCAACCATCTCTTTCCTGTAAAATCTCTGTGGCTCTATCATAGAAACCAAGTAAATTTGATACACAGGATCTTCTAGATCGAAAACCATACTGTCTGTCTGATATTATATTATTTCTGTGTTTTACCCATTTAGTTTTTATTATTTTTTCCAATGTTTTGACTTACACTTGTCAATGATACAGGTCTATAATTGAGGGGGTCTTCCCTGCTGCCACTTTTGTTGATTGGAACGATGTTAGCCTGTTTCCACTCATCTACTACAACTCCTGTACACAGGGATGTCTGAAAAATCAGCCGAAGTGGAATGCTGAGCTCAACTGCACATTCAGAACCCATGGTGAAACTCCATCTGGGCCAACTGCTTTGTTCTTACTTAGCTCCAAGAGCATTTGTTTCACTTCTTCTCTAGACACCTCTATGTGCTCTGTTGTTCTCTGGAATTCTTATTGTGTCTGACTCTCTGAAGATCTCATTTGGTACAAACACACTTCTAGAACTTTTCGTCTAATGTTTCACATATTTTCTTTTAATTTTCCATGTATCTGTCCCCCATTTTTACTCTGAATATTATCCTTTATCTGCAGCTTGCTTTTAATGAATTTATAGAAAAGGCCTGGATCTGATTTACATTTGTCTGTCATACCATTCTCAAAGTTCCTCTCTGCCTCTCTCCTTACTGACGTGTGGTTGTTTCTCGCATCTTTGTATCGCTGGTATGTTTGGGGGTTTGGCCTCTTCCTATGATTCCATGCCTGTGTCTTTTGATCTCTGGCCCTCTCGCAATTTCTGTTGAACCAATCCTGTTTCCTTAGTCTGCATCTCTGTTTTGGTATGAATGTTTGTGTGCCTTTATCATATATTTTGCAAAATATGGCATACATCTCGTTTACTTCCTTACCTAGCAACAAGTCTGTCCAATTATACCCATGAAAAAAATTTCTAAGTTCCCCATAGCTTCCTCTCTTGAAATAGTTTAACAACTGTTTCAATGTCCCCATTCTCTACTAGATTATATCGCAAAGCGTATTTAATGTCCAAGAGGACATGATCACTCTTTTCCAAGGGAGGAAGGTACTGGATGTCAAATACTGTACCTCCTCTTCTTTCCTGGTGAATATTAGATCCAGTATTGACGGAACATCCCCTTCCCTCATTCTTGTGGCCTGCTTGACGTGTTGATACATAAATGTCTCCAAGATGAGGTTTACAAATCTGCCTGTCCAAATGTCCTCTGTTCTTGTCTCGTATGCCTCCCAGTCTATTGCCTTAAAGTTAAATTCCCCAGTACCAACAATCGGGATTTATCTTTGCCAGCTCTTACCATAATCTCTCTCATGACCATTATAAGGCCCTCTCATTTGTCATTCAGTTCTTCCTTTGTCCATGTATTGCTTGCTGGTGGGCTGTAGGCATTTAAAATTATCAGCTTATCATCTTGATTCCAGACCTGCAATGCCATTATGTCAATATCTCTAGGGTTTTCAATTTTTAACTCTTACCTTCAGGTGTTCTTTCACCAGTACAGCCACTCCTCCTCCCTTCCTAGTTTTCCTGTCAAGTCTCCAAACTGTATAGCCCCTTGGGAACACGGCTTCATTTAAAATATTTTCAAGTTTTGTCTCTGTTAGTGCGACAATATCTGGGACTTTGAGCTTGATTATATCCTTCAACTCCAATATTTTCGATCTCGCTCCATCTTTGTTGGTGTATACTATTTTCAGGAACATGTTCCTCTTTCCTTTGTTCTTTGCACCCCTTTCCTTTAATGATTTTGTTGCTTTGTCTTTATGTACCATTTCACAAGCTTTCCAGTCCCTGACACTTTGTAGAAAAAAGAATTTTTCTTCATTTCTATCGTGTGTGTGTGTGTGTGTGGGGGGGGGGGGGGGGTGGACCTCAGGCAAGCTGCCTGTTTCCTGTCCCTGTCGAGGCCACTAGTGTTGGTGGCCCTCGGGTAAATCAGGCAAAATAAGCTAACTGGTTCCAGTGCCTTGCCTGAGGCTTATCTCAATGATATTTGTTTATTAAATTATTGTTTAGTGTAATGTTGAAATCTGCAGAATATGTAAGGAAATAGTGGCATTATTGAACCTAGTGAAAACTTGTGATAAGTACTGTAATAAAAATTTGTGTGAATTACTGTTAACTTACAGGAAATTTGCTTTCTCTGACAGTTTACTTTGGAAGACTTGTATGCTGATTACGAAGGTGATCTGCTACCTGAACCATCTGTAAATGGCCAAGGAAATGTTGCTGTCAATGGGGAGGAATATGGTGCAGTGATGCACACATTCAGTGGTGATCGCCGCCTTTGTATGTTTGGCTACACTATTGAAACCATCAGTATGTTGCTGTTGCCAATGGTGACAACACAGTAAGTAAAAGATTCATATTTTTTCTGTGGAGAGCCCCTTCAGCTCCCTGGAGCTATACCAGGCTGATGTGTATATATTAGACCATTGGCAACAGTCAATCGAAGGAGTTCTAAGCCTACCAGGAACTAGAGCCATAACCTAGCCCCTTCAAGAGAGGTACGAGGAGCAATGGCCTAAAGACACCCCTGTGTAATTGGAAGCAGTCTTTGTCTGCCAGGTCAGGCACCCAGAAAGGTAGGAATCTCAAACAAACTATTGCTGGTCAAAAATTGCAAACTGAAAGCCAAACTAGCAAACAGAACTCCTCAATCAAAAATAAGGAAACAAGTATGATGTCACAACAACCGCCGCACATCCATCTGTGCAACCCCCCTCCCCGGGAGGGGGACGGGGGGGTCCCAAACCTCCACTCTGGCAACTTGCGTCAGTTCAAGAGGCTGTTGGTGACTGTCGATCGCTCTGGCTCCACTCTTTGTGCAGTGCTGCTTGCTGCAGTGCACCTCTTTCAGCAGTGCTCTGTGTTGGTGGTGTGTGAGCCAGAATTAACACAAGAGTACTGGGGCTGCATGCACCTAGGGCTACCTTCCCTACGTGCCCTGTAAGTACTGCCTTTGCGGCCTCAGGGTTATCTTCCATGAGCCTTTCAGGAGCAGCTACCTCTGTGTGGTTCTGTCGCTGCTTGGTGATTGCCCGCCCTTGGGGGTTCATCTGGGGTGGTTCTTACCCCTGTTCGCCCTTGGGTAGGAGGTAGTTTTGTCACTGGCTGGGGCGTAAGGTACTGTGCAGCTTTCTGATATACTGTGCGTATAACGACCGGTTCTGTTCACCTGGAGACGTTGTGCCTTTGCATTTTTTTTTTTAGTTTTGCTGTTGCAGAGTCTGCGGTGGTGCATTTTCTGCAGGCAGGTTCGTGTAGTTGACGGCCTATGTCAGACTGGTAGGCTCTCCGGAGGGACCATGGAGGTCTTGCCCAGAAGGGCCGAGCCAGATCTCGGGGTTCCTTCGGTCGTCGTAAGCCGGTAGTGCCAGATTCAGGACTGGCCCTCATATGGGGTCGTTGGCTCGGTGATCGCTCCGAGTATCAGTTGGGCTCTCATAGGGGTCTTCGGCTCTTTCACTGTTCGCCCTGTTGGCAGGGCGATAGTGGGGAGGCTCGCGCCGTTTTTTCTTGCCTGGTTCCACGATTCGTGGGCAATTCGGGTCCTTTTCCTCTGGCCTGCGGTGGCGTTGCTTCTTTCCTTCTCCTTCGGGGGGATTGGGGCTTGCGGGGCGGACCTCTTCCCCTGCACGCTGTCAGGTCATCCAGGAGTGGGTTTCCCCACCTGTTTTCAGTTCCGAAACTGGATTGAGCAGATCTGCGATTCATACTGGACTTGTCCCGTCTGATCCCCTGGGTCTTTTGCCCCGCCTTCAGATGACCACTCTGTCTTGGATCCGGCTGCTTTTGGTCCGGCTTCAGGGACTGGCTCGGTTTTGTCGTGGAGACAGACTTACCGCTTTCGTTGCCTTCCTAAGCAGTTTGGATCTGGCACCTTGCGTGTCCACACGCCTTAACGGGTCGTGGTGACCCGTTTGCATTCTGGCTTACCTCGACGATTGGCTGGTGTGGGCTCCCAGTCAATCCGCGTGTCTGCTCGCCAGGGATTTGGTTCCTTACCATCTCACAGGGTTTGGGTTATTGGTGTACTGGAGGAAGTCCCATTTGGTTCCTTCTCAGGTTCGGACTGGGCTGGGTCTTGTGCTGGTTTACCTGTCGGGGCGGATCTGGCTTCGGCGGATGTTCTGGTTTCTTCGGGGACGTTCCTTCTGCCGATCTTGTGATCGCTATGTTCGGATCCCTGGTACCATGCATTGGCTGCTGTCGCCGGCTTCCTCTGAGGGTTTTTCGGGGTTATATGCCCTGATGCCTCCCCGAGCCCTTGCTCAATGTGTCTATGGATGCCTCATCTCCCAGCTGGGGTTTTGTGACCAGTGCTTATCAGGCCGGCCAGTCAGTGGGTTCGTCCTTCCGTCGGACTTGCAGCATGGCGCAGGAGATTGCAATGATGTGGCTTTCACTTCAAAGGATTCGTGTTGCTCATGGAGCAATGATCCGGCTCTGTTTGGACTGCTCCCCTGTGGTTCATTGTCTGAACCGCGGGGGTTCGATGTGGTCCTTGGCTCTTTGGGGCTGGTCGCTTCAGGTGACTCGTTTGCTGTGTTCTCGGGGTTTGGCTCTTCTGGCGGTTAACGTTCAGGGGGTGTCAAATGTCCTGGCAGATGGTATGTCTCGGTTTATTCTCCTATCCATGGAATGGACGGTCGACACACTCGTTCAGTTGGCTCTGCCGGACGTACGGGCACCTGGAGGTGGACCTCTCCTCATCGACTTGGTCGAGGTGTCTCCCAGTGTATGTGGTGCCCTTCTCATACTGCGAAGCCGTCGGGGTCAATGCCTTTCGGCTGGACTGGTTGAGTTGGGGTTACCTGTACCTCTTCCCACCGGTTCGGTTGTTGCTCCGGGTCCTGGTTAGTTTAGAGATACTTACCAGGAATGAGTAGTCCTGTTGGCTCTTTGGTGGCTGGCCAAGCCCTGGTTTCAGGCGCTTCTTGCTAATGTCCGAACGCAAGGGTCTTCCCGCGCCTCCACCTCTTTCAGCAGATTGGTCCATTCCGGTATGTGGCTGGTTCGATCTTCTCTGCTTCTTGCGTCTGGTCTTTTTGACGCGGGTTTATCACCACTTGTATGGTGATCAGGTGGCTTAGTTGGTGTCCCACCTGCATGTTTCGTCTTGACCGCAGTATGAAATTTCCTGGTGGCCTTTTCGGGACTTGTCTCTTTGTAGGTTGTCTTCGATTTCTGGTTGGTTTTGTCCTTTCTCTCTTGGTTGTTTCAGGACATTCTTCTTATGCCAGATACTGTCACCTCGTTTTGGATGGCACTGGCAGAGCCACTGCGGCTTGCATTTTGGGTGGATTTCACTTCTCCATTCTGCAAGTTTTCTCAGGCATTGTTTTCACCTCCGGCCTGCTCGTGCGCCCCTGAGCTGTCCTGGTCATTGCACCGGGTTCTCTCCTGTCTCCTCGGTTTGGGGGGGTGGCCCTCTCGATTCAGGACTGTTTTCTACGGCTCTTTTTCTTGTTGGCTTTAGCCTCTGGGGGTCGGGTCGGAGAGTTTCATGCTCTCCTCCGGCGCAGGGGGTTCTGCTCTTTAAGTCCTGGTGGTCTTTTCTTCGTTTGCAGCCGTCTCCTTCTTTTCTGGTGAAGAAAAGTGTGTCTGCTGCTTTCCGGAGGGGTCCTCGAGTTGTTGATGCTTGGTTGGTTCGGCCAGGGGTGCATCATGTTTTGTCTGTGGCTCTTCGTGTTATTTGTGTGTTACGGCCTCGGTGGCAGAGGACGCACTTTGGGGTGACTCAGTTTCCCCTTCTTCACTATTTCAGGGCGTGGGTCTCCCAGGTTGTCCGCAGGATTATACAGTTAAGCCAGCCTGTGGTCCTTCCCCGTGTCCACGCCATTCGTAAGTTTGGCATTCAGCTGCTGCTTTGGTAATGTCCTGGCCTATCTTTTGGGCACGGGGCTATTGGAGGTCGAACAGGGTTACCTTGCAGGTTACCTTATTCCTAGTCCTTCTCAGGCGTGTATAGGCTTGGGTTGCAGGTTGCAACCTTGTGTCTTGACTTTGAGTTGAGGAGCGAGTGATGACCGCTTCCTGGGCGAGTCCATTTTCTTCATATCTTTGGTTAGGCAGCTTCGGGGAGCCAAAGGGGCTCTCCACAGAAAACCAAAGTTGAACGTAATGAAGTCATTTTCTGGGTGAGACCCGGAGGCTTCCCGGCATCCCTCCCTGCATCCCTCCCTCTCGGTCGGCAGTTTTTCGCGTTTATGATACTTGCCCTCTGAACTGAGGTGAGTTGCCGGGGTGGAGATCTGGGACCCCCACCTTTCCCCTCCCGGGTAGGGGAAGGTTGCGCAGACGGATGCGCAGCGGTTGTGATGTCATGTTTGTTTCCTTATTTTTGATCAGCAGTAGTTTGTTTTGAGATTCCTATCTTTCTGGGTTCCTGACCTGGTAGATGGCAGACAAAGACTGCTTCCAATTACACGGGGTTGTCTTTAGGCCATTGCTCCTCGTGCCTCTCTTGAGGGGGCCAGGTTCTGGCTCTGGTTCCCGGTAGGCCTAGAACTCCTTCGATTGACGGTTGCCACAGTCTAATATATACACATCAGCCAGGTATAGCTCTGGGGAGCATCCTGGTCTCACGCAGAAAATGGCATTTCATTACATTCAACTTTTTTTTTTTTTTCTTAAGAGCAGATGTTATGAGAGTTAACATCTTTTAACTCTCATAACTTAGTTATGAGAGTGGAATATTTAGAATAACAGAAGATATTTGTTCCTTATTTCTCACTTTTGATGTGGTGATTTACAGTGCCCCAATGGGCACTGTAAATTAGTCCATATGTTAATTTCTACCCAACATGACTTAGCTTTGTCATGAAGCTGCAAGTAATAAAATGAACCAATGTCAAGTTCAGTTGTCCTTTCTTGAAGGTACTTTTGTTAGTAATTTTTTTTGTTCAAATTGAGAAGATTATAAATAATGCACCAAAAATGCTGTTAATTATAAATTGTGTGAAGCTTGATGATGACAGGAGGAAATGTTGCATTTATGAAGCAAAATGTAAGGAAGTTAAGCATAGTTTATTTTAATTCTGCCATTGTTTATTAAATAGAATGATGTGGTGGATGGGGAGAACAGAGGGAGAAATAATATATTTAATATTATTGAGGTTTATGGGATGAGAGACATTGACAGTTAATTCTGAATGGGCTGCATAAGGTATTAACATTTTGTATGAGTTATGTAACTATAACTTGGCTTTACTTTGCTAATGTATAAGTGAGTTTGATGAGAACAAGAAGAAAGAGGTGAAAAGGTTTTGGGGTCAACAGTCAAAACACGGTACATAATTTGTTAAGTGACATATTCTGATAAGTGATTTTCTGTGGGATGCCCCATTGGCTCCCTGAAGCTATCCTATTGATAAAGTGCTATATTAGTTGGGGTTATCAGTCGCAGAGTTCTTCTTGCCTACTGGGTACCAGAGCCAGAACCTGGACAAATAGCAGCCAGAGATAAACATCGGCCACCACTTGTGATAGTAATGCAGGTGGTGCTAGCCGCAGTGCACTCCACCAGCAAAGAAATGCACCCCTACCCGGGTCAAGGCGGAAAGCTGAAGACCCCTGACTCGCCCCAAGAGCGAGGACAACCACAAGCAAGGATGCCCTCTAACAGGGTGTGTTTCCCGAATGCCCCAGACAAGATAACCCTGAGACATAAAGGCAGTACTCACGAAGCACCTAGGGAAGGAAACCCTAACCCTAGAAGCATGTAGCCCCAGTACCCTGTAGAATGCCAGGCCGGCTCACAATAAGCGTAGGAACAGTTAAGGCAAATATCCAGAAAAAAAATTGTGGTCCAGGTCAACATCCAATCACCAACACTATATGTAGTGATATGATCACTACATACAAAATAATAACAGGAATTGATAAAATCGATAGGGAAGATTTCCCGAGACCTGGAACTTTAAGAACAAGGTCATAGATATAAACTAGCTAAACACAGATGCCGAAGAAATATAAGAAAATTCACTTTCGCAAACAGAGTGGTAGACGGTTGGAACAAGTTAGGTGAGAAGGTGGTGGAGACCAAGACCGTCAATAGTTTCAAAGCGTTATATGACAAAGAGTGCTGGGAAGACGGGACACCACGAGCGTAGCTCTCATCCTATAACTACACTTAGGTAATTACACTTAGGTAATTACTAACAATCACGAACTGATAGTGGGTTGCCAGCTTCCTCTCTCCCTGGGGGGGGGGGGGGGAAGTTGAATGATGTGTTGCTTGTATGTTTTCTTTCTGGGGAAGTTCTTTTGCTATTTTGAGGACATATAGCTCACAAATTTCAATGAGACAATGGTCCATTTTGATTTGCCTACCTCTCTGGGTACCTTCCCTGGTAGAGGGCAAAATATGACATAATTTATGTGTAAAGTGCTCATGGGCCATTGCTCTCTGTGCCTCTCTGAGGAGTCTAGGTTCTGGCTCTGGTTCCCGGTAGGCAATAAGAACTCTGCGACTGACGACCCCAACTAATATAGCACTATATCAGTAGGATAGCTTCAGGGAGTCTCCGGGGCTCGCCCAGAACCTGGCGGTTCATTTCATTCAATGCTGATTTTATTATACACATTATTTTCTTGGTCATTTGCTGCTTAGACTAATTGGTTACACACAACCTGTAGTTTTCTTCTTTATAGCTCTATCAAGTTAGAGTACAGTTCTCTATCATACTGAAATTTGATCTGTAGACTGTGAAGCATAAATTTTTATGCTTCACGCTGCTTCAATGAATTTCATTAAATTATAAATTAAAATGGAGTTGTTATAACTTTACATATTATCTCAGTGATTTTTGTTTTTTCAATCTCTTAGGAAAGAAGCTCTCGGCTCAATGGGAAATGATGCACCACTAGCATGCCTGTCAGAGTTCCAGCCTCTTATTTATGACTATTTCAAGCAACTGTTTGCCCAAGTCACAAACCCACCGATTGATCCTTTCCGTGAAAAAATTGTGATGTCACTGGCATGTCCTATTGGTAAATATAAAAATCTGGTTCTGTACTTTGCTCATTTTATACTTATAATAAACTTGATATTGTACTATATGGCTTTTTAAAATAGTGTTCAGCAGATGTTTAATTTTTTAGATTTAAGAAGATAATGAAAAAGTGCTTCAAGGTAGAAAGGAATAGCTTTGGTTTTGCCTCTTCTTTCTGGGATATCTGTTAAATTACTAACAACAATTTTCATTGAATTTGTCATGCCTACTATTGAAACTGTAGATAGAAGGAAAAGAAATTGAAGAGAAAGCACTAAGTCAGTATGACTATATAGCACTTAACCTTTCCACTGCTTGAGTAATAAAGGGATGCTTTCAGCATACCTGACCACACTGCACGAGTCAGAGGGATGATTTAGAGTACATTACTGTGTAAATTTAAAGTCCCATGGGTATACAGGGCTCACATCAGCTTTCTCAGCCTTCTGGCAAACAGATGCCCTTTTTATAAAATTGTGGACACTGCTCCTGGATGTGAAGTCTGAGTAAGCAACCAAAGCTGGCACATGCAGCATGAACTAGCAACACAACTGTTCAACCTTTGTCCACAGCATCACTTATTTATTTATTTATTTATGCATATACAAGAATGTACATAAGGAATGTGAGGATACAAATATGGTAATTACAGTCTTGTAAAGCCACTAGCACGCGCAGCGTTTCGGGCAGAATTAAATTAGAATTCACTTAGAATTCAGAATTCACTTAAAAAACACGAATTACACGAGTAATTGCTATTATTTTGTGTTGATAGTACAGATGATCCTGAATGTGAAAAAGACTACGTACAATGTTCAGATATCAGTGAGCACAGTGTTGTTTACAAAAGTTCACAGCATGACAGACAGCCATTATTTAGTGCATCTATGCATTATGAAATGACCTCGTGCTTCTTTAGAAAATAAACGTTTGCCAAATGATTCATATTTGGTATTTAGTGACCAGGATGCTGAGGATGATAATAGCAACATTATGCCTAGAATTAGCAATAGGTATTTTATATTGGAGGCATTATGTAGTCGTGCAGATGCAATCGTCAGCTGACTAGTGGGTTGATGCTTTGCTGTGTGTAGGCTCAAAACCACCTTAGTGGCTCATTATGATGCACAAAATCATAGATAGTTATACACTTTAGTATTTATGTATATATGCAGTGTGAAAGTGACAAAGGCACCATTTTCTGTGGGGAGCCCCTTTGGCTCCCTTGAGCTATTGGGCTAATATGCGATATATTAGACTAGTTCATTAGTCAATGGAGTTGAGCCTACTGGGGACCACAAGCCAGAACCTGGCCCCCTCAGAGGCACAGGGAGCAATGGCCCCTGGAACCCCCTCCCCCTGTGGTTTGGTTTTTTCTAATCTGCCATCAACTGGGTTAGGCACCTAGAAAAGTAGGCATAATAAAATGGACCCCACATGGTAAGAAAATTGCAACCGAAAACTGAAGAGAGACAGAACTCCCCCCCATATTACAAGGAAACAAGCAAATGTCACATCTTGCCGCTTCTCCGCTCCGCCCTCCCCTCCGGGGGGATGGGGGGGGATCCCCAGACCCTCCGTGCCGGTTACTAAGGAACTCCAGTGCGTTGGCTAATGTGATCTAGGGTGGTCATCAACTCTGGCCTTGATTTCCTGGCAGTGTTTTGCCTTGGTGGCATTCTCTGCTACATTGTGGTGTGGTGGCCAGATGTAATAAGTGTACCAGGGCTGGGTGCTAGGGTTCTCTTCCCTTGTGCCTTCTGGATGACATTTCTATAGGGGTTTCTGTGGAGAGCCCCTTTGACTCCCCGGAGCTATACCAGGCTGATGTGTATATATATTAGACTGTGGCAACAGTCAATCGAAGGAGTTCTAAGCCTACCAGGGACCAGAGCCAGAACCTGGCCCCCCTCAAGAGAGGCACGAGGAGCAATGGCCTAAAGACACCCCCTGTGTGATTGGAAGCAGTCTTTGTCTGGCATCTACCAGGTCAGGCACCCAGAAAAGTAGGAATTTCAAAGCAAACTACTGCTGGCCAAAAAACTACAAACCGAAAGCCAAAAAATCAAACAGAACTCCCAATCAAAAACCGGGAGGCAAACATGACATCACCACAACCGCCGCGCATCCGTCTGCGCAACCCCCACCCTCCCTAGGAGGGGGACGGGGGTCCCAGACCTCCACGCCAGCAACTCTCCTCAGTTCAAAGGCTGTTGTGATGGTGAACGGTCGATTGCTCTGGCTCCACTCTTTGCGCAGTGCTGCAGACCGGTGTTGTTGCTCTGTATTGGTGGTGTGTGAGCCAGGAGTAACACAAGAGGACTGGGGCTGCATGCACCTAGGGCTACTTTCCCTAAGTGCCCCGTAAGTACTGTCTTTGCGGCTTCAGGGTTATCTTCCACGAGCCGTTCAGCAGCAGCTACCTCCGTGTGGTTCTGTCGCTGCTCTGTGATTACACTTCAGCCCTTGGGGGTTCAGCTGGGGTGGTTCTTACGCTGGTTTTCCCTTGGGCAGGAGGTAGTTTCGTCGCAGGCTGGGGTGTGAGGTACTGTGCAGCTGTCTGATATATCGCATAGCGATCGGTTCTGTTTACCTGGAGATGTTGTGCTTTTGCGTTTTTGTTTTGTTTGTTTTTTGTATCTGGCGGGGGTCTGCCAGGTGTGGCGGTAGGACCACTAGTAGGTTTTTGGTGGCCCTCCATTAGGTCTCCATGCCTGCACACACTGCAGGGGTTCAGCTTTTAGATTGTTTGCTTGGTAGCTCTGGGATAACCGGTCAACAGTACCTCTCCTGTGCTTCCCTTAGCAATCAGCCTAAGGGCCCCTGGAAACCCCCATTGGGGCTCAGTGGTCAAATGTAGGAGACCTCCTGAGTTCCACTTCGCCTTGTGTGAGTTTGAAGGTTGCTCTGTTCCCCCGTCTCAGGGTGACACTCACCGTCTGCCTCCGCCTTGCTGCCTGTTGGGGTCAGTGACACCTATGACCCAGAGTCCTGCGAGTGGAGTTTTTTGCTTGTACTCCATTCACCCACTCTACTGAGGCTGATATTTGGGTGCAGACAGCTTTAGCGTTGCATGAGTGGTTCATGTTGCAGCAACGTGTGAGGTTGGTTGCCTTTCTGGATGCCCTGCAGCTGCTCCGCTGAATTATACTGGTAGTGAGACTCGGGCAGCTTCGGGGATTGCCCCTTTCCGGATTGACGGCGGAGGCCTTCGAGCCTGGTTCTCCTGCAGAGCTTTTGGGCCATGCCAGCTGGCCCCCGTCATCCCTGCTTTTCCGGTGGTTTCTGCTTTTTCTCCAGAGGCAGAGGGTTTGGAGGACGGCTCGGCCCCAGGTCCTGACGTGGAGGATTCCGGGGCTGGAGAAGGAGTTGACTTGGGGGGGCCTGGGCCACACTGGTCCCTGCTTGTGTGTTTGGTACCCTCGGTGCGGGGCTTGTTGTTACAGGGAAAGGGGTTTTCCTATCCCCCTCCCTGTACGATTTTGTTAAGAGTTCGACTCCTCCCCGGGTTCGGTTGAGAGTTCCCTTGGGTTCTTCAGTTCCCTCTTCCTGGAGGTTTTTGGCTTCCCTCATCCCACCAAGGAAGGTGTGGGAGGCCCCTTGCGGCTTACCTCCTGCGAGACCCGGATTACAGTTCGATATTGAAGCCTCCATTTTGAGTTTGGCTTCTTTTCCTTCTTGGGTGCGTTACAAGGTGCCGGAGTCTTCCTGGCTGGCAGACTGCTTTTTCTTTGGGGGGTGGGGGGGCTTGGCTTTCATTCTGTCGGACTGCGCACTTGAATGGCGAGAGTTGCCTACAGTCATTCACGTTTTCCTGGGGGGTGAGTTGGAGCACCTTAACCCTTACACTGCTCAGGGGTCCTTTGGACATTTACACCCCTGTGCGCAAGAAAAAAAAAATTCAAAATTTTTTTTTCATCTTCTAAACATGTTAATTTGTGTCCCCTGAGCACGGAAAAAATAAAAAAAAAATCGTAGGTGACATATTTTGGGCGCAATTGACCGAGGAAGTCTGGCAAAAAGTGGGCATTGACAGAGCGGTCGTCAGACTTGGTCAGCGTCACCCGCGTTGACAGATGGGAGTTGCCACAAAGATATTATTACCTAATTGTTTCAATGTCTCCGATTGATTTTTTCTTAGTTTTTTTGCAGTAATATTATTCAATAGTGTGTATTGTAATATATTTATATAATAAAAGTCGTTAATAATCGCTATACTCAAAAGTATGATGTGCATATTAGTGATTCAATTATTATGTTTATAAAACTATAAACAAATAGTTTTGCTGCTATTACACTCTATACACAGGTTATATATAAGTATTGGCATGTTTTGGTCACCATAACGAACCACTAAGTTGGTATTGAGAGTCGAAAAGCAACGAGGAGTTACCGCCACACACCAGCCAGCCACTGGCTGCCACTCCCTCAACACACGCACTAAACTCTCTCCCCCAACAATACCATTTGTGGTGTTATTACACTATATACAGACGTTATATATAAGTATGTATATATTTTGTTCACCACAACTGTACAGCTAAGCTGATATAGTTAGTTCAGGCACTAAGAGTCGTCGCTATACACAGATGGCGGCTGGCGGCTCCCTCACTCTTTCAAGGTCACACGCACTAAACTTTCTCCCCCAATAATACCTTTTGCAGTGTTATTACCCTATATACACATATTATATATAAATATATACATGTTTTATGCACCGTAACTGTACACCTAAGCTTGTAATGCGCCCAAAGAGCATAGTGGCTACCCTCTAAACAGATAGACAAATCGTGCAGACGACGTCACCTCCGTCACCCATATGGCTCCTCCCAGCATAATCCTTTTGCTGTTATTACACTAATACACACATTATATATAAGTATCTACATTTGTGTTCACCATAGAGAACCATTGACCTGGTATGGTGAATGCAAACAATAACAGCTAGCCACACAGTCAGTAAACGATGCTGTCTCCCTCCGTCTCTCAGCATCACTC